AAAGAACCGGTGCGTTGAAGTTAAAATACAATCAAAAGTACTTCAAGTAATTAATGCGTCTTGAAGTAGTACTGACGGTAATTAAAATTATCTATCCGTAATTAATGTAATTAAAATGTAATTAATGTACTTTAATTACAAAATTCCAACTGTAATTAATGGAGTTAAAATGTAATTATTGCTCTACATTGTGTAATTAATGTAATTAAAGCAGTAGCTAATGGAATTAATTTAATTACAGCCGTTGCGTGCGTTGGAGTTAAAGGTTATTGCGTGCCCCTAGGGCCTGGGTTTGATCCCATGATTTTCTGCTCTCTGCTCCGCTCTGAGGCGGCCGAGTCCTTCATATCAGAACTTAGCACTATGATGTAGTTAATGATATTTGAACGGTTATATACCCGACGGTGGTATAAGAATAAGCGGCGACGACCGACTATCTTTCAAACCCGGAGACAAGCTAAGAAAAAGTCCACATTTTTTGGACTACCACGCACAACAAACTACGACCGACGCGACGAGAATGAAGATTTCCTGCAAAACATGGAACGCGAATTGATTAGGTTGATTAGGGTACGATAAATGAAACAAAGATTGTTCGTATAACGATTCGCTCACGTGAGATGTCTCGATCTTTTTTAGGATTAAAATTTAGCTGTAACGCTCTACTCTACTCTACTCGAAGACTTGCTAGGAGTCGAATTTTGAGGATGTTTCCAAAGAAATTCTGAAGAGAATTTCATTGAAATTTCTAGAGAACTCTGAAGATAACTCAACAGGAGATCAGAGAATTATTCAAAAAGAATTGTGAGGTTAAATTCAAGAGATTTCAGAGAAGAAATCCCAACGAATTAAAAAATTGGAAGTGAATTTCGAGGAGTATTTCAAGGAAATTCTGAATGGAGAATTTCTAAGAATTTCTTGGAGCATTCTAAGGGAAATTTGAGGAGAATATTTTCAAAGAATTGGGAGCTGGGTGGTTTTAAGATAATTGTGAACAAAATTCCTTATTAACACGTTTGGTATTTATGCAAACAAACGACTGGGACTATTTTTGTTACCAATTCCCCTTACTCTCCCCCCCCCCCCTTGGTATGCATCGTTACAGAGACATGTACACGTGATTTGCATGTTGCTTGCATGGTTTTCCATATTCCCTTCCTCATTACATTCCAGCCATCTGCGCTCCTTATCCCTTCTATAATCCTACAGCACATGTAGGACTTCGCACCATCTTTCAATTTCAACCCCATTGAGAATGAGTACATTATTGAGAAAGGCAACGGAAGTGAAGGAGATGATGTCGAATGAATGTTCCCACACAGTGCTCCAAGGGGGTATTGATTGTTCGTTTTCACTTGACGTGTTGACTGCAGTAGTGAAGTCTGGCGGCTGAGGTGGGATTTTTCGCAATCGCTTTCGCACGCGAACGAAGGAACCGACCGGCTACAACGGCTGTGCTTATGGTCACGATAAAAATAGCGGGATGCGGGCAGACAGGCAGCGAAAGTCAGGCCTTCTGTTTCTGGCGTTGTAACTAAGTTATACTACAGTGCATAGGAGGAAACAGAAACGAAATGGAATGACACAGAGACAAGTATTTTTGATCGTTTTGGTCAATTCACTACAGGATTTTCTATTGTTATGTAACAGACAGGGGATTGAACAGTGCCTCGTACATTCAGTTTAACGACTTAGATTATGAATAGTGGAAGAGCAGCAGATGATGCTAAGAGTTTTGCCTTTAAATACCGGCTTGGATAAAACAAAAATCCTATGCAGCGCGCGTGGAGCTGACGAAGAAAGAGAGATAGGGCGTGGAGTAATGTTTATATAAACCGAGCGAATACAACATTAGTTCGCATGTGTGACCACAATTTACATTACACCTCACTGTAATGTATCTATTTACATGCGCAGCTGTTAGGATGAAATAATAGGTATGAACATAATAAGAACGTATCATTGAAAATAAGAATATATGCGCTAAGAACCGTTATCAATATTATATTATTATTGGCAGGGTTGGCATGCTCATTTAGTTACACAATTTTCTCATTTGTAAATAGCTTTTCACTCAGTTGATGAAACTTGATTTTACTTTAAACCACTGAAATAGTATGATTAGAGTTCACAGTAGACATGCATTCACACCAATAAGTTTATTTATTGAAAGTCTGAAATGAGCAGCGATTATTTGTGTGGCTCCAATTTGAGACCAGCGTTGTATTTCTATATTAACATAAATCACTTAAAACCTCTATTTTCTGTATTAACCTAAAACTACAGACAAACAAACGTAGCACGTTCTCTTCAACCGTTGTTCACGCATTTAACGTTCAATTTAAATATGATTAATTTTGTGAATCCCCCACCACACACGAAACGAAAATCAATTATGTATTTTATTCATGTGTTTCACTTATACATTTTTGCCAAAACATCAGCCTTATACATTCCATAAGGCATCGGATCACTTTTTCCCGTTCTATACATTCTATCGAACTAGTATGCAACATTGTTTGAGGCTTAGCAGGCAAGTTGTTTTCCGTGAATAGCTCGTGAGATGTCTTTAGTGAGTTTCGTGACGATATTGTTAAGGTAAATTTATTTGAAGATGTACGTTTGTTTGTCTGTGCTAAAACTCTTTTCTATCAGTTGCTTCCAGAAAACCCATGTTTCGTCAAGTGAGTGCAGAATTATTAGCAAATGAGCAATTTGTGTGAAAAATTGAGCACTCCAACGCTGATTATTAGTGCGCCTGCAACATTTGATTCAACCTATTTTACAAACCAAATATTAATAATAATGTGACCAAAAAGTAAATAGCGATAACCGTTATGGTATAAAAAGAAAGTAATGATTTCTTATTGGAGTTATTATCCAACAATCTCAAGTATTTTTTGTCGATCAAATTACCCATAGAGTAGAGAACTACTGCGGCCTAATCACCCATTTTGGGCCTATCGAGCAGAAAACTTCAAATAAATCCATGATTTCAGAGTTAACAAGTCTGGTACGATACTTTAGTTAATTAGCTACGGAACGAAGGCAATGAGAACGCGTGATATGAAGGTTTGCAACCATTATTCCCAAAAACAAAAAAAGCCCTCCGACCGAATCAATTTTTATCTTCATCTGATAGGCCGAAGTGAATTCATTGGCGTTTCAATGCGTTAGACCGAGTTTAGAATCCGTTGGCCGAGTTTGGCGTCAAGAAGCTGTGTTAGACTTTTGACAATATCTCAACGATTGGTTTCTTTTTATCAAATCTTACGATACATACGGGAAGGTAAATAAATTTGGAAGCCATCAGTAATAATAACATTCCGTTTGGTGCTAAACTGCGCAAGATTAAGAAAGACTAAGTGCGGGTTGTGCTTAATTGGCCGGAAATGAGGTAGTTAACCCTATCAAAGAATTTGACGATTTTAAAATTGACACCAATTTTGAGCTACCATATTGCTCGAGAAACCACTATGCGGAAGTCAGCCAAGCGAGGTAAAGTGCCGACGCGTACACAGTATAGTCACTATATTTATAGTCTGGCGGATAGAATTTCGGGAACCAAATAAAGCTTTCAAAACCGGAACCAACCGAGCAGTACTGAATTTTGTAACTGTGATCGTACCATCATTTCTGGATCAATATTTTTTTTATCTATATTAAGGAGACTTTCAGTCCTGGGCTGGTTCGTCTCTGCTGGATCAATATCGTTATGAGTCATTAGGGCCTGTTCATAAACAACGTAGACAGTTTTTTTTGGGATTCTTGACCCCCCCCCCTCCCCCTGCGTAGACAATTGTCCATACAAAATTTTTAAAATTTGTATGGGCCGTAGATAATTGTCAACCCCCCCCCCCCCCCTAAACTGTCTACGTAGTTTATGAACAGCCCCTTATGAAAAGACAACATCATTAACGTTACAGATAAGATTAATTTCCGTGAAAAAAATAATAAATGATGTCAACAACAAAGCTGGATCTATTTATCTTTCCACTGAAAAACTGTACAAACATATAGCGAATTTGTTTTTGATTAAGTTCCAACCTGGATCGGGTATCAAGATTGGGTCTGCTTGTTGCCTTTCAAACGTCAGTGTTAACGTTTGTTTTTGTAACCTGGCTCGGGTTGAGGTTCGCACTGACAATAAGCTCGGGTTCGCAAGGGTTGGAACTGGTTCCTGGATAATAAACAAATTCGCTAGTAGTCATGTGCAGGGTTGTTAGTGACGCTAACGTCTTCAATGGGAATTTGCATAGATCAGTATAGGTCCCTAAGCTCTTTTTGTACTCCCTATCATTTTGCCTATGGATAATAGAGATGGCAACGAATGAGAACCAAAACAAACAACCCGAAAGTATCAAAATTTAGTGCGGCAAACATTAACGAACAGCATTGTTAATCGTTAACATCGGCGTTAAAGTATTCAACGGGAATTTGTTTTGCAGACGTTAACGCTGTCGTTACGGCGTTAAGTTAACGTCATTAACAATATTTTCCCGTTTCGCTTTTTGGTTTGTAGATTTACGTTGCCATTTCTTTTTGGGGTTCTCTCTCCGCCAGACTATAAATATAGCGACTATAATACACAGTGCTGCAGCTTCTATAAAGATTGCTAAAGTGCGGTTGTGTCAGTGATTTGTTTTCACCGGGAACATTTTTCGCTATAGAAAAAAAATCCTGATGAAAACATTTTACGTATATACGAGATGTAGTGTGCGTTAGATAAGCGTCAGCAACCTTTATGTATGCTGCTGTTACCAAGCAAGAAGGGGACCAGCAGCTGACAGTGCCGCGAACCCGCGACTGCTCCGTGCTTGCTTGATGGTCATCGCACTTGGGTCATGGTAGGTGTCGGTGTCCTACCCCAAATTTGTCTAGTTATAAATTACTGGTTTGCACAACCCGCCCTGATCCCACAAGGACATCCACTAATGGGCCTTCCGTCACTGAACAGCACTGTAACGAGACAAAACGAAAAACATAAAAAAGGGACTTACCTGGGAATTTTCCTTAGATCAGCATTTTTGTTGGATGGATTCGGTTCGAACCAGATCTCCAAAAGCTTCTCGACTCCTTCGAAAAAGTGCATATCCTCCCGGCTGCTACTACTACTACTACTGTTACTTAAATCTTCGTTCTCCGCCATTCTTCCAGTGTTCTTTGGGTACGCGATTCCGCCTTACACAGGGTTTTCCACTAGGTATATCGAACACAAACGGGAACGGCAAAAAAAAAATCTTCCAAGGAAAATTTTCCAATACCACACCACCTTGCAAAATTTCAGACAGACGAAGGTTGCAAACGTTTCATCTACGGCGAAAGGGAGTCAACGATTATTGACCGCCGCAACCAACAATATTATTCGCTCGAATGGCACAAACACAGAAAATTACGAAATGGGACCAACGAAAGAACCCAAAACCGAAATAAAAACGCAGACACAGGGAATTTGCTATTTTTCAATGCTTTTTTGGCATACCAATTTTGCCTCTTGTTCTTCTTTTTGCTTTTCTTCCAAAATCGATTGGCCGCGAGAGAGAGGACTTTTAAGGTCGACTCAGAAAAGTCTGATCACAACAAAAGACAGCCGAAGACTGAAGTGCCGAACACGCGCCTGTGCGATTGAAGGCTGCTGGCTGCTGGCTGGCTGCAGGTTCAGGAAGTGTTGCCACATTTTTCCACATCCACATCCAAACATATTTTTCATCTCAAAAAGCCTATACAATCTAATATAATCTGTGATTATAATTTTGGAAAAACACTGAATGAGTTTCATAGTTTTTCAAAAATCTGTCACAGATTTGCATCGAAAATTATAAAAAAAAATCATTGCAGATATTAAAACATATTATGTGGCATCACTGATGCTCTCCGTATCGAAATTCGACGAGAGAGAATTGGCGTTGACGGCGACTCTGTAGCTCTTTACTCCTATGGTAAAATCCATAAGCAAACGTCAGACTGTGCGTGAAACATGGCGGACTTCATACTATCCTTTCACTCCACCGAAAAATCCTATAAGAAACTGTCAATCTTTTCTAGCAGAGACGATTTTTCGATGGTGCCGTCAACGCCAATGACATTTATATATCACGCTTAGTTCAGTTCACCCAAATATGGGTGAAGAACACCCATAATCGCGCAAAAGTGCACAAACCCATTTTATGGGTAAAGTTGATTTACCCATGTACCTTACGAATAATGTAGGTAATTTTTACCTATTTATAGGTTATTGATTTAGGGTGAATTTAACTCATATTTGGGTGATTATTTTCATTTTTCTTCTGAATTTCAACGGAATAAATAAAAAATAAAAATACTTTGTTAAAATTGTATTTTATTTGTAGCAAATATTACACAAGTAGGGTTAACTACCCCATTTCCGGCCTATTAAGCACAACCCGCACTTAATCTTTCTTAATCTAGCGCAGTTTAGCACCAAACGGAATGTTATTATTACTGATGGCTTCCAAATTTATTTACCTTTCCGAATGTATCGTAAGATTTGATAAAGAGAAACCAATCATTGAGATGTTGTCAAAAGCTCGGTCAAAAGCCTAACACCGCTTGTTGACGCCAAACTCGGCCTACGGATTCTAAACGCCAATGAATAATAAAGTAACAATTTTGATTATACTTCAAGCACAGACAAACAGACGTAACTCTTTGAAAAACTTGTTCTTGAAAACATAGTATCTCAAAACATATAACCTCAGTAACGACATCTATCTGGCTTCTCGCGGAAAACAATCTTGCTCGCTAACTCGTAAACAATATTGCATAAAATTTCTATAGAATATATAGAAACGTCAAGTGATCCGATGCCAGCGCTGCGGCGAGTAGTTCGCGGAACTGATAATATTCAAATCAACCGTTAAATGCATGAACGAAGATACACAATGAAGAGTTACGTCTGTTTGTCTGTGCTTCAAGATTAAGTTAAAAGTACTCATCAATGAGAACAGAAATGTATCCAAAACAGTAGTGTTGGAGAAGAACTTATTTTGAAGTATTTTCTATCTTAATTTTGAGTTGTTTCGTTTCTCCGTGCAACTCGCATGGTAAGCATTCACTGAAAAAAGTTTTCACTTAGTTTCTATTAGGAACGCACATAGTATTTTTCCAAAAACAAAAACAATGATTTTTACCTGAATATCACATAGCATTAGAAATTCTACACGAATAGAAATCTCCTTATACCTTTTGGCAAATTTCTATTGCTGATTATTCATAAAATGTATAAGTCAACTAATAAGCAGACGCCTTGCAAAAAGTTAATGAAGCTCATGTGTCAAATGAAATGTATAAGCGGTCACACATACCTTTTATGCATTCTTGTAGGACCTATGTGGTTTGTCTTATGGAATGTATAAGGCTGATGCTTTGGCAAAAATGTATAAGTGAAACACATGAATAAAATAATTGATTTTCGTTTCGTGTATATGAGAAATCATAGAGATTTCATTGGACACATAACGTTCATGTGATTTAGTGGTGCAATTTCCAATTATGGGATCACATGAAAGTTATGTGAAATTCACATGGATATTTTCCACTGGTTATGTGATTTATTTTATGAGTGTTCCATTGTGAACATTTTGGTACAAAGAGAAAAAAAAATACCCTTAATTTAAGTTCTTTTTACTTAATTTTGGATAATTTTGAGTTTTGCATCCCACTCTCACTTTTTATTGTTGTCAAAAACGGAACGAGAGATTCGACTTTCTCATGACTATCGTTCAATAAACTACTAGTGAATATATGAGATATTCTCAAATTTGAGTACTTAATTTTGGGTAGAAAATACTCACGAGTAAGTAATTATTTTTGCCGTAGTCAAAGGTAAACTACTATAAAACGCTGTCCAGACTGGAGAGTTATAACATGTTGTAACGGTAGTCTGAATGTACTATAAGCGATTTACTGAAAATTAGCTTCATGAACAGAACATGGGAGGCTCGATGGGAGGTAAGTGCAAAAAAAACTTAATTTTGGGTAATTTTTCGGTTCCGTGTAGATTGCATACCCAACAAGATTCAAAATGTTTCAGTGCCCCATAAAAGTTTCACTTCACGTAGCTTCAAAGACTACGGCTTTGTGATTCCAAGACTGTATTGCCCACGAATGGAAACCGAAGTTTTTGATGCTAGTACCACAGACAAACAGACATAACACTCGCAAGTTGTTCATCGAACAAGCATTTAACGGTCAATTTAAAGGTATCGTAGTTGGTAGTACCACCACCTGTGACGCGCATAGTCAATTCCCTTGCGTTTGACATTTACACACTACTGCCATCTGTTCAGCGTACTACCCACCATAGTGTACTCAACAGATGGTGGTAATGTTTTAGTGACGATGTATATACTGATTTAATTTTTAATTTATGGATCAATATGAACTTTTGAGTATATATGAATTACTCAAATTTACTCGCTGTGAAAATCACAACTCTGAGTTGACATGTCGAATATTTTTATCCGATCGATTGGATCGATTGGACATCACTGATCACGCCGTAAAGCCGTTGGTCCTCGGTTCATGAGTTGATGGGTCGATAGGTAGGGTCCAGGTGTGGGAGCTGCCTTCCTGGCGTCGGTACTGGGTACTCAACATGGAATACAAGATCGACAAACAATGAAAAAAATGACTTTCGAGAAATCATCGAGAGAAGTCATTGTTTACAAAAGCTGTTACGCTCTAATTCCAGCTCTATCTAGATATTTAAAAATATGTTGGTAAGAACACTACACTCATAAAATTCGACACATTTTTATTGGCGAATTTCCATGTAAAATTCCACATGATTTTCATGTGCCAAACATAAACAGAAGCACACATGAAATTTATGAGTCAAATGAATATTATGTGAATTGTATGTGTACACATGATTGATTGATTTTTTTTTTGATTTTTTAAATTAAAGTCATTTTAACGCTTTTGGGTCATTCGTGACTTTTCCGGGGTGAGATTTGAACTCGTGACTTTGGCGTGAGAGGTATGGATTCTAACCACTACGCCGGGGTCGCCCCGTGTGTACACATAAGAATTATGTGTCCGACACATATATATAATTTGTTTATCACATTGCGAAAATTCATGTCTGGGACACATAAAAATAATCATTAATTTTTTATTAGTTTAGTTATATTAAATTTGAATAAATTATGCATGGCAAAGATCCTGGTGATTTTGTCTTAACTATTTGTTTATTTGTATCAAAAATCTTTAACAGAAGCTGCCAGTCCCAAGTGAAAATAAATTCGATTTACTGAGTTTATTCAGCAAAATGCTGTCAGCTGTCAGAATTTTTTATTGCTGGAAAATCAGTGAAGAAATATTACTGAAATGTTTACTGATTATCAGTAAAATGTTGTCCTATTGACAGAAGTTGGAATTGCTGAAAAATTCAGCAGCAATATTTTGCTGGAAAGTTTGCTGCAAGGTGACTATATATAGGTGTTCTAATGTGTCAAATTCATGATTCAGCCATGTTGAATTTTTGTATGGGACAGCGACCGAGTTTGTTTACAATTTGCTCTAAAACCGCACTTCTCCCCCCCCCCCTCGCGACCTCCTCGCCATATAGTGATAAAGCTGTATCACCTTGTATATACCCACCATGGTTTGCTGATCTTTCATTAAGTCTAAAATCAACAAAATTCTGCTGAGTTTCAGCGATTTAAATTTGGTGTGATGGATAGGCCCTTTTTAAGCTCTGTATAAGTTTGTCATCTCAATTCGTTTCAGTGTTTGTCACTAACTTCGGAGTGTAAACTGGCCTGAATGAAAACAAAACATTCTGAGGTCGTCTGTTCTGTTAGTGCAGCTGATTGTTTTCAATAAAAAATTTGCAAAATTTTCTTGTAAAAATTTTTGAAATGAAAAAGTGTTATTCAAAGCTTCATTGTTAGCCAGTGCTCTTCTAGCACTTTGCGTTGATCTAGTCATTTAGAGTGCGTTTAGCTTCGTAAGTGTAGAATATATACATTGTCTAGGATAAGTATGTCTTCGGACGCCGTGAGGAATCCGTTTATCGATTCATCGTCACCATCGCGCAATCATGACCGCGGCATAGACCCTACTGCGGATGCTCCCGATCTCGATGGTGACGAGGTGGAAGACATTCCAGCAGCAATGACTGAATCATACAGTGAAATTGCTTATACGCAAAATTTCTTCGGCACTACCAATGCCGAGGAACAGTTCGAAGATGGCGGTGGCAGTAGCCAGAACGCTGGCTCCGGGTCGTCTTCGTCATCCTCATCGCAAACACGAAAGCGACCGGATTCGCTCAATTGTGATAAGAGGAAAGGTGTGGAATTTAGAGGGCTGTAATTTTTATGAGAATGAATAACTACATTGTATTTGCAGATGCTTCTTTCCCATACAATTTAGAAGGAACCGTTAGGGTAGATGGCAACATGACACACTTTGTAGCGGAGAATCTTGAGTACAAAATTAAACTGGCAAGTCCGGTAACGGTTACTCGAAAGGATTCTAGTAATCCTTCCGGATCGCGGCAGAGTACTCCCTCGGCTGCAACAGGTGGCACGGGGGTTGGTCCCGGTGGATACGGCCTAATGCCGAGGCCATTCATGATGCCACCACACCTGAACCAGATAGATCCAAACGTGCTGAACGAAATCGAACGGGAAGCGCAAGCGTTGGCCGCTTCGGTCGATAATCTAACCGAAAGCCTCTGCTCGGTGCTGCACTCGATTTCCTCGATCACAGCAGATAATGTGGAAATCTACAAGAATGCCGTTACAAAGCTGACCGATTGTATGGATGCCAACATCAAATGTATGTACACTATTATGGCCAAAGCGGAGGAGATCTCCAAAGCCATCAAACCGGCCGAAGCTTTGGCAACGCGAATGTAAGTAGCAATAATTGATTATTTTCCACTTTTTATATAATTAATTCTGGTCTATTTTATGGAACCGCCAGACGAGAAATCAAGAGGCTCGTTGATATGTTTGAAAGCAATGTTTAAATCGATGGGAGAGTCTAAATGTGATTCCTCTTCCCGTGTCTTTAGAAATCGTGGATGGTGGAAAGCAAGGAATTTTGTTTGAGCTACTAAACAAATGTTGCAGCTTTGAACCGCACAGATTTCAGTTTATAATCAATAGCTTCGATTATTGTTAAGCTGCATGTTTTACGTGGAACATAGCAAACAAGTTGCTAATAAGCAAGGATCAATATTTATTCTCAACTTATAAGAGCTCTCTTGTCTCGTGGAACACAAAAGAAATCCTTGGAAATTGGGACCCAGTTGACAACAGTTTGATATTGGTTTCTTTCTACATCATCATTCAAAAAAATAGACAGTCAAATGTTTATTATTTCATTACATCATTAAAACATGAAAGTCAATCGATCTCACTTGAGCAAGCCTCAACATAAATTACCGTAGAAAAAGTAATACCTGATAACCCGAGTAGCACCTTACGGACTACCAAAATAAAAGATCCTCAAAACAAAACGGATTAGCTATACCAAATATTCAAACTTCTCTCATAAGCTTAATCTATGATGAACGGTGGAATATGTCCGTTGAATGTACGTTCAATCTCTTCGGCAACTGACAGGCAGTGCCGATCACGATTGCGACTGGCGACAATCTGAATGCCCAATGGTAAGCCATCAGGGTCCAACCCCAGGGGGATCTGAGTGGCCGGTACGTGCAATACGTTGAACAAGCACCAGTAGCCAAAGTTGTACACATTCACGAAGGCAGAGTAATGGTACGGAGCGGCGTGGGTCGTGCTATGGTAAAACAGTATACCATCATCTCCAAGCAGTTCCGTAAGTTCCTGATCGCACCGACGGGTAATCTCTTTGATTTTATCAGCATTTTCCTGAGGCAGAATGCTGTCGATCAGTGAGTAAACGGAAGCCAATGTGTACTCGCTGTTGCCAGTGAGTTTCTTCGCCAACTCGACTAAAGGTGAAAGTTGCTTGCCATTTCCCAGCAAGTTGCTAAAGTTAGCTGGCTCTTGGGTCATCCAGTAACGCCACATGTTGCTGGTTTTCTCCGTACCACTCAGCGTCACCTTCTCCACACCACCAGGAGCGATGTTCTGAAAGTGTTCCACTATGCGGTTCATTGCTCTCTGCAACTGCGGATGCACCGAGCTACACTTGATATCGCCCGAGCTGGACATGTAAAAGTAACGTAATTTCTTCAAATCAGTCTTTTCGTCAAGCTTGAGAGCTTGTGCAGTCTTCGGTCCGACGAGGGTCTGCAAGAAAAAAAAAGGTGAGTCAGCACACGTTTCGATGTTGGTTAAAGCTCTCTTACCTTCATAATCGGTCGCATGTCCGAAGCATAACGCGTCATCGGTCCCGCTACGACCATAGTGGAAGTTTCTCTGCCGGTACGCAGCGAACAGCCGCGGGTATTGACAATGTTTGAAGTAGGTTTATGACCGTAGATTCCGCAGTAGAATGCCGGCATACGGATAGATCCACCGATGTCGGTTCCTAATGGGGAAGAATAATGGGAGAGAGTGATTTAAAAATGCAGCCAAAAATCTATAATCTAAAATAAAAAAATAAGTTTAATAAAACCATAAACATTAAAATCTTACAATCACCACAATTTAACGCTCTCCTAAAGCTCTCCTCATGAATCATCGTTGAAATTATACGCAGAAAACCCTTTAAATTGTGTTAATAGTTATCTCAGAATTCTCGCCAAAATGTTCCACACGATCTCCATTAGATTCTACCAACAATCAATACGAAACTAACGATTTTAAATTGGCTCACCACTTTAGTAGCCTATTGGTCCCAAGCAAATGATTAACGTACCCTATTCTAGTTGAAATTCTATTACTACACTATGTTTGTTTTGATTCGCTATGAAAGTTTGACAGATAACATCAGGGGTGTGTGGATTCATGCAGAACATGCAGGGGTGAGTGAAATAGCTTGGGACTGCTTGGGACCGTTGTTCTGGTACTGAGTGAGCCAATAATAATAATGATTTTCTTCGGGACCCAGTGGTCTTAGAGTTACCTCTATGATTCTACTCAGAATCATCTAGGAGTTCTCCTTGATGTCCTTTTCATAACTCCCATGAAATTATTCTAAGAATTACCAACTCATAACTTTATGCTTCTCCCAAGGGGTGGTCACTCTACACACGTATTTTGCGCCAACATTTTTCTCAGTGTGCCTCATGTGTGCCGCAGCTGTGACGGCAGTGCCGAGAGTGTCAGTCATCAGACTGAATTTGTTTGTTGTATAATAGACTTCTTGCCGCAAGATCTCACTAAACCAACCGTGCTGTTCTAACAATGTAAAAACGATTTGTTTATTACTTTCAACCACGAAATAAACTGTCAAAGTGTTCGACCTGACAGTGGTTTGTTTTTTTATTTTCAACCAGTAGAACGCATGTATTAGTGAAACTGCTCACTAATACCAACAATCAATACGAAACTAACGATTTTAAATTGGCTCACTACTTGACTAGCCTATTGGTCCCAAGCAAACGATTAACGTGCCCCATTCTAGTCAAAATTCTAGTACTACACTATGTTTGTTTTGATTCGCTATGAAAGTTTGACAGATAAAATGAGGGGTTAGTGGATTTTCCTATGTTTCGAGGGGTGAATCGATTAGCTTGGGACCGAAGATAGTACCAGAGCTGAGCCAAAAAGTTGAGCACGTTTCTTCGAGACCTTTTGGTCTTAGAGTTACCTCTATGGTAGAATCGAGAATGAAATCCTATCCCAGATCCTAACCATACTCACCAAGACGATGTTCCAGAGGCACTCCAGGTGGACAAGCTGACACCGGTCAAACTGGCCCGACAGGAGGATCTCCTCAAGAACGTGATCGAGCTCCCTCGCCCGCTGGACAACGAGCACGGCAAAGACAACATCCAAGCGCATCTGGTGGTATTCGAAATCTACAATCGCTGGACGGGTCATGTACCAACTGGACGACAAGAAACGGGACGAAGCAGTTAATTTCAGAATGCGACGAAAATATTCCTGCTGCAAGGCTAGCTGCTTGAGCGGGGAGCACGAGAGTGAGCAGGTGTATGCATTAACAAAGTTCTGCAAAATGCGATTCCCGATGCGGTCTCACCACCATGTCGTCGCCACTGGCATCTTCAGCGACTGTCAGTATCAGTACCACCGGAACGGTCATGTCCTCGATGGAGCAATAGCCATCGAAAGTCACCATCCGGCAGCCACAGCAAAATAAAAGCTAAAACAAGTCTATATCTAGAGTAACATTTGAAATGGGCCTATGTCCAAAACGTAAACAAATCGGGTTTTGATACCATTCTTTAGCACTGCTTGATAGCTACTAATCGTGTAGGAAAGTTCCGCATAATCGAGAAAAATCATTAAAACTAACTCGATTTTCGAAACGGCCGATCAACGAAATTTTTCGATTCATCAATAGGCCCGCACGCTAAAACGGCCAACCATTCATTTATTTCATTTAATTGATAAGCCTAGTGGCGTAGAAGGGCCGATGATTGAAAAATTTCAAACCAGAGCTAGGCCCTACTGCTTGAGGCAGGGCCGATGATTTGTTTTGAATTTATTTGACGTTGCGAAAAGGCTTAGCAAAGGGCCTACCATTTCTGATGACAAGCACAACGGCTTAACAAAAAGGGCCTATCCATTGAAAGATTCACAAAAAAGGCTTATTAATTTAAGAAATTATATTGTTATCGATTTTCATATAATTTTGAAAGCTTTTCGCATATTTTGGATGTTGTATACTGAGATACAGTTACTATTGTTATTGTGAACAATATAAATGCCTAAAATACTTCAATTTTCTTAAATATGAATTGAATAATGACGGTCAAAATTTAAAATTCATTTTCTGGTTTGTTTACGTTTTGGACATAGGCCTATTTCAAATGTTACTCTAGATATGATTTCAGGTTGGTCAAACCGAAACACAAACCGGAGTAGTAGTGGAGGGCACCATTCCATCCGTTTCTTTTCCTTTCTTTCGGAATGAACGGAACATACAAGTTTCTTGTTTTTAATTTAATTTATGAACAACAATAAAGCACCTCCTCTCCCCCTCCGTGGATTGTTTATTGAAAACCGAAAGGATAATACCGATACGAATGATATACTGCTTTGGACAGGCATTAGGATGTGCGCTGGTAAAGAATCCATGGCGAAACTTGGCCGGAAATTCGCAGTTGCAGACCAAAAATTGGATTGTGTCAACAACAATGATTAAAGTTTTGACACATGCACAGCAGATATAGAACAGTGTTGCCAATAACTTTAAATATTATGCACATTTCTAACCATGAGTACCAATGAGAGTGCCCAGGTGTGCCGAGTGACCATCCCCTTGGCTTCTCCCCAGAAATTCATTGGAATTCATCTCAGAATTCCTTATACCCCGTACAGACCTCGGTACAGCCTATGGCTTATATCATGTCATATAGGCTCCCGAAAAAAAAAATTACAGTGAAATTTTCAGTGGAAACAATGCTCTAACATTAATATTTATTGTCGACAATAAAAATGATTGTTATAATGTTGTACTCTTCCGAAAACGGCAAAACTGCTGCCTAGCTGTACAATGAATGTACATAATAAAATGTTGTTACAATGATTTTTATCGTATTTTTCATTTATGTTATTGTTAACATGATTCGATCATGAACAATAATGAACAACTCTATTACAATAAAAATTGTTGTTACATTAAATATTGGTGTATTTTCACTATGGGTTACTTCACGAACAATAAAAATAAATCTGATTGAAGCATGCAGACTATGAGAGGGTCAGCAACACTGCCAATGTAATTAAGATAGGCGCTGCTCGTATGGCTCTGGCTTTGATAGTTCGTTTGGCTCAAAACTAGGCAGTCCGCGTCCGCTCATATCTTATCCTAGACCCTCTCTAAAGCTTAATCTCCATTAAACCTTTTCCGTGCAGTCAACAATCGTACAATAATAATAAAAAATTCCACCACTTGAAGATGTCAAGAAGGAACTCTCAGGTGGAGGCATATTTCATGGGCGATTCTCTCCAGTCGAATGCATTAACTTATCAACGACGCTCAACCACCAAAGAGACGTGACCTAGGGATATCGAGCGCAGGGGAGTTGGCCTGTGTTTCTCACAAGTTCCGGATCGAATCTCGATCCATAACCAGTAAAAAAAAGGACCACCCGTAACAGACATACCACCCCCTTCCCTTCCCGGGGCAATGTTTTATTTTTTCGATTTATTTTTAAAGTCGATAAAGTAGATCTGTCAAGCCAACACATACACTCTAAAGTACACTGTTATTTTTTTTAATCAATAAATTCGCCAACCAACAGTAAAATAACAATAATATATAATGTTATTGAAAAAAAAATATATGGGAAAATCACGAAAATTTCATTGTTAAGATACTTAACAACCCCCCTTTTTTATTGTAAATTTTCCATTTACCATGAAATTTACTGTTTTGTACAACATAAATCAAGGTAAATTTATTGTCGACGTAACAATATAAATCATTGTTAAGACAATAATTTTCGTCTTATTGTTACATTGTTTTTTAATGTATTTTTGTTGTTATTTTTTTTCGGGCTGTCTTACAATGAGCACTCATACATCTAGTTTTCACTGCAAATCCTATATATGAGTGCTCATTGCAAGCCAGCCTATATTAGCCATAGTCTGTCCGGGGTATTAGGGCATTGCTATCTATAAACGCTTAACAGTTCAATTTGAATAGGAAATCAAGCATCGATGTGACTGTTATGCTTTTATGGGCATATTATCTCATGTTCAGAACTCCCATAGGATGCTATCAGAATTTTGATGTAATTATTGATGAACTTACACTTTAATTCCATTAAAATTATCTTTAGAAATTCCATAACTGTTCTCCTCAGAATTATCTAGATTTTTTTTTAATTGCTTGGGCACTGAACATTTTTTCAAGGTGCAAAGCCTTAAAAACTTTCCAGAACCAAAATAATGATTTTTTTTTTCTGGGATCCAAAATTCTACATTTTGAGTTTTGTTTTGAAGCCAATATTAAAAAAAATCTAATTGGGTTGTTTAATTTCGAAAAACATACCAGTTATTATACATCATCTGAAAGAGCTTCGATTTCTGATCACAACCATATTTTTTTCAATCCCATAGAGGTTCATATCAATTTTTAAATTAAGCTTTTTTTTTATTTTTGACACTAAATCTATTAGCACAAACGAAGTGACAGACGACTAACTGGCGAAGAAATCAATTAAAATAATGTGGTTCACTGTAATAGAATTTTCTTGGAAGCTTGTGCCATCATCCACCAGATGGGTTAGTTTTTTCGTTTTGATTTGAACAAAGTTGATTTTGTGTACAATGATTCTTTGACAGTGTGCAAAGAGTGTATCATTTTGTCATTTTTTTATGCATTTCAGTTTTGAGTAGAGTGAAAGAGATAGAACAAAAACATTCTAATACATTTGGTGAAAATGCCAGTACAATTCAGTAGTAGTGTTGCCATGTGGTACAATCCAGTAGTAGTGGTGTTGCCATGTGGTACACTGAAAAATTGTAATAGCAGGTTAGTCACCAAAGTTTTCGAGCCGCTCCGTCTGTCACTTCGTTTGTGCTATTAGTTTATGGCTGGCTACCATACACAGTTCCACCAACAATCAATACGAAACTAACGATTTTAAATTGGCTCACTACTTGACTAGCCTATTGGTCCCAAGCAAACGATTAACGTATCCCATTCTAGTCGAAATTCTAGTACTACGCAATGTTTTTTTTTTGATTCGCTATGAAAGTTTGACAGATAAAATGAGGGGTTATTGGTTTTTCCTATGTTTCGAGGGGTGAATCGATTAGCTTGGGACCGAAGAGAGTACCAGAGCTGAGCCAAAAAGTTGAGCACGTTATTTAGGGACCTTCTAGTCTTAGAGTTACCTCTATGGTTCCACCGAGGGGCGCTAAGATGGTGATTTTTGCTAATGTAGTCGCATTTATTTAAAATTGTTCCAGTTCACCAAAATAGATGATTATATGTATTTATCTCAATAGCTCTTAACAACCCAATTCTTTTTCTTCTAAATCTAATATCTTGAAGTTTTTATAAATAACAAATTTTTATAAAAAGCATAGTCTAATGCTCTTAACAAATCTCGAAGATGGATTTTTTTTTTCTTCTCAATCTCAATATTTCTGTTAGTACAGACTAAGGAGTGTTCAATTTTCTTACTCCGAGTCAGAGCTGGTAAATATCACGGCCGTCATGTGAAGATAGGAAAACAGGTCCTCTCACTATCACGAGACGAAACTACAGTATGCAAAAAAAAGTTTATCACCCCCCTACCAATTTACAATTTTTTTTTTGTTTTTCTGGTGAAAATCAGTTTAATTTTGTGATCTCCATGATTTATCAATTTATGTTTATTTATCACATTGCCATTGAAAAAACGGCGTTTATATCTTTTCGTGAGAGTTCATGTGATAAATTATGAAAAATGGTAAAAAATTACGCAAAAAAAGTTTATCCACCCCCAAACGGATACTATGATTTAAGTGTGTTTTACAAAGTTTTAATGTGTATTCTGCAACTTCATCCAATGTAAACATTGTGTCTATCTGTCATTTAGTGCTCTTGAAGTTTTCGTGCTCAAAATTTCAGTTGTGTGTTCATAATTGGAAGTTATTTTTTTCAAAATGCCCAAAAAAGACCAAATTTCGATCAGTATCCGAAATTTGATTATTGAACATCACAAAACTGGCAAAAGCTACCGTGATATTGCCGATATTGTCCAGTTCCACAAAGATACGCTTGCTAGAATTGTGCAGATGTACAAAAAGCGTGGTTCTATCTCACCAGCTAAGCGATTGGGGCGTCCTTCAAAGACAACTGACCTAATTGACAGAGCTATCGTGAAGAAGGGAGAGCTGGACCGGGGACTACCAGCTCCGAAAATTGCGAAACAGATTGAAAGCGAGTTTTCCATTCAAATGACATCACAATCCGTACGAAATCGTCTTCATAAGAAAAGTCCTAAGAGCAAAGTAGCTCTTAAGAAGCCATGGTTGTCCGCAAAAAAATTAGAAATGGAAGAAAAGATTGAAGTGGGCCCAGGACCCCATTTCATGGACCAAAATTCTATGGTATCTGATGGTATGGTCTGATGGTATCAATGGTGACCCAAATAGCATTACTTTCGTGTCGTCTGACCAGATCACCTTATTCCAGTCATCACTGGTCCATGAAATGCGGTCCTGGGCCCACTTCAATCTTTTCTTCCATTTCTAATTTTTTTGCGGACAACCATGGCTTCTTAAGAGCTACTTTGCTATTAGGACTTTTCTTATGAAGACGATTTCGTACGGATTGTGATGTCATTTGAATGGAAAACTCGCTTTCAATCTGTTTCGCAATTTTCGGAGCTGATAGTCCCAGGTCCCCAGCTCCCCCTTCTACACGATAGCTCTGTCAATTAGGTCAGTTGTTTTTGAAGGACACCCCAATCGCTTAGCTGGTGAGATAGAACCACGCTTTTTGTATATCTGCACAATTCTAGCGACCGTTTCTTTTGAAGCTGGACAATATCGGCAATATCACGGTAGTTTTTACCAGTTTTGTGATGTTCAATAATCAAATTTCGGATACTGATCGAAATTTGGTCTTTTTTGGGCATTTGAAAAAAAAAATAACTTCCAATTATGAACACAAAACTGAAATTTTGAGCACGAAAACTTCAAGAGCACTAAATGACAGATGTCGATTTTCCTTATTAGAGAGTTGTATAGATTTTTCTCCTTTAGCTTACTTAAATCTTTGGTTTTTATTAGTTAGGTAGGTTCCGATTCAACACATTGTAGTTTCATTTTTATACCTATGATCTTGACTTTTTTACCTAGGGGATGAGTACTTAAGGGGGTTAGATTTTGATAAGTTCTTTAGTGGGAATGACACTGATGAAGACTGCACATTGTAGTCGAAATACGTATCTGTCATGGATACCAAAATTAATTAACTGGAATTAAATGGAAGATAACCTGTGTATGAGCAAATCACGTGCGTTCCGTTAAAAAACATAGTGACTTTGAAGGATACATTTATTCATACAAGCAGGTCGCCATTACCGAGCATGGAAAGCTGGATAACCGATTGACATCCGGAAAAAAGCCACCGGGAAAGTGCTACTTAGCCTCGCTCGCAGTATGAGTTGGCATGGGATAGCGTCCGATGAATATGTGAATTGGGTCTTCACCCGCATGCACGAGAAATCCGAGTCAATTTGTGGGATTGTTATATTAGAAAATAAATTTTCATAGCAAATTATTCCTTCTTGAAAATATGAACAGTTTTACCACGTTTTACGATACTTCATAGTAATGGCTGTTGACATGATGGATTACCATTGCATTCAGCATTATTCTCCTTTTTTGGATAATGGCATTCGATTTAATGGCGTTCGGAGTGGAATGACAGTTTAAATTATGAAGTGCATTTCCCATGTAAAAAGTTGTAAAAATTCTAGTAAATTTATAAATCATTCTATTCCAGTTATAATCAGTTGTAATGTACCTTACATGATCAGTTATATCAGTAAACATATGATAACTAAAAAATCATAACTGTAGCTTGATCTGATGATGCATTTTTCATGTTTTCAAATACAAAATCCTTGATTTTATCACACAATATGAAAGTAGGTGCCAATTGATAGTGCAGTGTCATTTTCTCAAAAATCGGTGGAAATCTATATGGAACTGACATGCTAAGTTATTAAAAATTAAACCCCATTTTAATACTTACTGAACCGGATTTTACTTTCGCAAACAGTTGTTTACAAAACAAAATAATAATCATAATAAAATGCATGTCGACAAATCAGGAGAATATTGGATAGAAGGCTAGTATGTGGTGTTGTAAAATGTTACACTAAATCTGAATGTTGTAAAAATTAAATTAAAAATAGTGACAAGAACCCGTAACCGAACGAAAATACCCTAGTATAGGAAAGATGTTACAGACCAACGGAAAAAGAACAGGTTTCAAACGACTAGATTCGAGAAAAATCTCTTGTGCTGAAGCTAAGCATGCTAGTTGCAAAGTACCGAAGAGAAAATAGACAGACTGTATACTTAGTTGGCAAGGGAAAACAATTTTAGACCTAGTCCAAAAGCGCTGCCACAGGCTGCAACCAGAGCTCCTTCTCCACCGCTTGATCCGCCTACCGTGCGCCGGCTGTCGTATGGGTTGTTGGTCTGACCGATCAGATTATTTCTCGTCTCTTGCCTACAACAGCAGCGATAGGGAAAACAAAATCCTAAATCGATTTACTCATTAGATGCCACTAGCGTGCACAGCAGGGGTGGCAAACAACTGTCATTCTGATCCCGTTAGTTATTTTGTACATTTGATACCTGTTTTCGGGCGTGTGCTACGCCATAAATTGAAACACACGAGTCTAAGAGTAGAAAGAGTTTGCCATCCCTTTCACCGCCCCTCCCGAATGCGTGCTGCGCACGCTAGTGATGCACGAACGTAATCGCCCTTACCATCGGTTGATTTCCGGAATGCTAGTGGTAGCGATAATGATAGCACCCGCTTCCTTCATTAGTTTTACGCACTCGGCATCTTCCTTGGCCTTCACATGGCGCCGTGCTTTAATGCCAAGTGTGTGCAATTTATCCTTAACCGCAGTGCTGTCCTTTGTCGTGAAAGGAACTCCTAGGAAGGGCTTTTCGGCAAATTCGTTTTCCGAAATGAGACCTCGCTGAATGCGATCATCGATAGCTTTCGCTTCTTCCAGTGCCTCAATGAAAGGCCCATCGATTACTGCGTTCACAACTGGATTGACTTCATTCAGACGATCGATAAAGGCACTGATCACTTCGAAGCAGGTGACTTCCTTGGTTCGAATCATTTTTGCCAACTCTTGGACACTGTAGGTCACAATGATGCTCTTTCGCTGTAGCGGTGGACACCGCATGCGACTCGGTCCCCAGTACCATTTTAGGACCATTTCGACTAGTCTATCAACTAGCATATGTATAATCATGAAGAAGTTGAAAAGTAAACTATACGCTATGTCCTTCATTATTTGGGTGGATTTGTTCCGTTTCTGCAAACAAGAGAATAACGTTCGATCTTCATGAATAATGCAATTCGATACGTCCACAATGCGAGTTCTTCGAGTGAACCGCTAGGTATAATTTACAAGTAGCTTCGAATTTCTACTACTGGCTGAGTCTAAATATGTTGCGTCGTCATCATGGATAACAGAAGACAAAACGTAGTATACTCACATTCCGGCTTTCACGCCTATTGCCGCTGGTGGACATTGTTGTACCTGCACTTCTATTCGACTGATAGTTATTACTAGTACTACGCACTCTTAACTTCGTTCTGACAACACTACACTTACTAGACGACTAGAAGACTAGGTCGGCAACACCTGGAAAGTTCGTTCACGAAACGATGGACCATTCCGATCCTATCGCAGTGATCTGTCGTGGCTTTCTCTTTGTAATCAACTGCTTATACGGTAGGCAGCTTACCACTCGCTGCTGCTGTCTCCGACACTCTTACATCTGAAACTGTTTTGCTTTCATGCACGTTCATTCATATTTCGGACACTAATTTATAAATTATAAACATAAAAATTGGCATGAACGAGCGTGTTGTTTTTGTTTGCGGTTTTACGTGAGAAAGTGAAGGAAGGAAGATTTTTTGCTTTTTTTCACACACACGTAAACGAGAAACATCGTTGGAGTAAAGATAGTCTCCCGGCAGTCGTCAATTCGCGACTACGTAACATGGCATGTTCACGCAAAGATTGACACTTGGTTAGTGGATTTTTCGGCGGAGTGACCGAATAAGAAAAAAGCCGCTATGTTTCACGCATTCAGTGACGTTTGCTTACGTAATTTCCCCATAGGAGTAAAGAGCTAAAAAAGATTCGTAGCGCGAATACAATGAGTACAGAGAGAGCTGAAGCACATCGTGAAATATGGTTGTATTAGTTATCCAAAAAATCAACGTAAACGCAATTAGTGACGTCACTAATTGCATGTATCGTACAGGGGTTTTACTCACACAACTTAACCGACTGCTTCACCTCGGTAATCCAGCTCATTGGCGCGAATAGTCTTATCACGATGTGCGGTATAAGAGGTGAGGAGAAAGGAAACTAGTGGACTCTTTCATTCTGACGGTGTTCTTATGCAACAGCAGACGTGACGTCACGTCTGTTGCTGCATAAGAAGACGCGAGAACGAAAGAGTCCACTAGTTTCCTTTCTCCTCACCTCTTATACCACACATCGGTCTTATCCAGCCAATGTCTTTTATATTATAAGGTCCGGGCCAACAGGCTGATTGGTGTTAGTGAAATGTACAAATGTTTAATGGTGTTCATATTTCATTGCATTCTTTTTACACGAAACAGCTGTTGGCAGTGACGTAAATCTCACTGTTCGCAATATGGAATGTTATGGTAGACCCTAATAAAAAATAACCATAAACGAACGATAACCCAAATCATCGAACTATTTAACAAATGGTTTGGATGATACTCAGAACACGTCGTTAAGCAAATTAACCATACATTTTTTATTAGGGGAGTGAAGTCTTCACTAAGGGGAAACTTTTCCCTATGCGATGATAGTGTTGGTTTGTGTGGGCGGCCTTCGTTTTGTGAGGAAAGGGCTTTAGAACGGTTTGTTTACAAATGCTGATGGGCCCTTTTCTATTGTTGATCCAGTCTTGAGTGGTCAGCAATGTTTACAATCTTTTTGCTTATAACACCAGCAAGCTGCCTGTTGGCCCGGACCTTATATAAACCTCGATATAAACGTCATATCTATTTAAAAAATGCATATCTCGTGTCACTTTTCAAAAGGTCCTAACATTAAGTAACAAGTGTAAACAAAGTTTGAAATGATAAGTACATGATTGTTGCTTCGGTCATTTGGACAAGCCAAAATGATTGGTGCTCCTTTTCTAAAAGCGGGGCCAATCTAAAGTTAGATACTCATCATGGATCATGGATTTGAGCATTCTGGAACATTCTGGTCTTAAAGTTTCCTCTATGGTACCACCATAGAGATAACTCTAAGACCAGAAGGTCCCGAAGAAACGTGCTCAACTTTTTGGCTCAGCTCTGGTACTATCTTCGGTCCCAAGCTAATCGATGCACCCCTTGAAACATAGGAAAATCCATGAACCCCTCATTTTATCTGTCAAACTTCCATAGCGAATCAAAACAAACATAGACGAGTGCACCGATGGATTTGAGTTCACTCATTCGAGAAAAAGTGACACAAGCTGCGGGCAATGTTTACTAACCATGAACACTAAATGTTCATGAATAATGAATAATGAACATGTAGTGTTCATGATTAGTAAACATTGCCCGCAGCTTGTGTCACTTTTTCTCGAGTGAGTGAACTCAAATTCATCGGTGTACTCGTCCATTGACGAGTGCACGGATGGATTTTAGTTCACTCACTCGACAAAAAGTGACACAACAGCGGGGCCCTGTTTACTAATAATGAACACATATGTGTTCATTTTTAGTAAACAGGGCGCTGTTGTGTCACTTTTTGTCGAGTGAGTGAACTCAAATCCATCCATGCACTCGTCAATTCTATCGACAAAAAGTGACACAACAGATGGACCTTGTTTACTGAAAATGAACACATGAATAATATTCGCGTATTATTTGAAACGGGCCTATCAACTTTAGCACACAGTGTTCACTCGGCTGTCGACAAAAGCAGGCCACTCTCGATGTGTGCTACGCGATCGTCTGTTTTCTCGGCAGCAACCATTGTGTGGTCTTCCTCATTGTTCTTCATCAGCAGTTCTTTCGGTCGATGCGTCGTCGACTTTGGAAAGCAACCGTTTCGTGATGAGTGTGTGAGTGCTGACCACGTTTTGCGTCCATTGCTGCATGGACGCGCTCTGACCCTCGTTGGCGTACAACAATTTGCCACACAATGAAACTACTGGAAGCGGCTCCAGTTTTGATGGAGGAGGCTTTTTGGATAGCGAAAGATAAAGTGTTTATTGTGTTGTACCTTTTGACTATAGTTTTAAGATGTATTGTATAGTGACCAAGAATCCTCGGCTCTGTAAAGTTAATTCGGTTGAGCCTTATCAAATAAATTAATAAACAAAAAAAAACTTTAGTACACAAAACTGGTTAAGCCAGTAGATGAACAAAATTTCACCCGTGCACTCGTCTATTAGGTTTTGCACCGTCGGGGTTAACCTCAATCTGATGACAGTTCAGTGGTACTGTTTACGTGGACTTAGTCGTTTTTTTCTTGGGTGGATTTTCTCGATAATTTTTCAGACTGCAGTGAGATGTAAACCACACTTCTGCACTGTCCACGAGCAACATCCTTTCACCGCGCTGTTCCTCGACAATTTTCAAGTTAAAGTTCGGTAATTTTAGAATATTTAATTTCGAAAAAACGACTAAGTGCTTGTAAACAGTACCACTGAACTGCCAAAAAGGTTCAGCCTATTAACACTGAGTTCATTCGTGACGTCACGCTGCAGAACCTAATTAGGTTTTGCACCGTCGGGGTTAACCTCAATCTGATGACAGTTTAGTGGTACTGTTTACGTGGACTTAGCCGATTTTTTCTTGGGTGGATTTTCTCGATAATTTTTCAGACTGCAGTGAGATGTAAACCACATTTCTGCAATGTTCACGAGCAACATCCTTGCAATGCGCTGTTCCTCGACAATTTTCAAGTTAAAATTCGGAAATTTTAGAATTTTTTTTTTCGAAAAAACGACTAAGTGCTTGTACCTACTAAGTACCACTGAACTGTCAAAAAGGTTCAGCCGATTAACACTGAGTTCATTTGTGACGTCACGCTGCAGAACCTAATTAGGTTCTGCAGCGTGACGTCACAAATGAACTCAGTGTTAATAGGCTGAACCTTTTTGACAGTTCAGTGGTACTGTTTACAAGCACTTAGTCGTTTTTTCGAAAAAAAAATTCTAATATTTCCGAATTTTAACTTGAAAATTGTCGAGGAACAGCGCGGTGAAAGGATGTTGCTCGTGGACAATGCAGAAGTGTGGTTTACATCTCACTGCAGTCTGAAAAATTATCGAGAAAATCCACCCAAGAAAAAATCGGCTAAGTCCACGTAAATAGTACCACTAAACTGTCATCAGATTGAGGTTAACCCCGACGGTGCAAAACCTAATTAGGTTCTGCAGCGTGACGTCACAAATGAATTCAGTGTTAATAGGCTGAACCTTTTTGACAGTTCAGTGGTACTGTTTACAAGCACTTAGTCGTTTTTTCAAAAAAAAAAATATTCTTAAATTTCCGAATTTCAACTTGAAAATTAATTATATGATTTGAGTAGAAGATCCGATAGATGTCGCCCCTTCAGTGGTAGGAAAATCATTTTTGCAGTATGGAGAATATCAGAAAATCCACGATTTGTGACTAAACATGCTTTCACAGAAGAAAACAAATAAACGAGTGTTTACCTTATCACCATAGTAATGTACTCGTGCAATTTTTGGGCATCTTAAACTGCCCATAAAGACGATAATGAATAAAAACTGAAAATTTTCATGCATTTTAAAATGGTTTCCTACCATTCCCATACATTCGAAAGTGACTGGCCCTCTGGATGTGGATGATGTCAAAAACAACAAAACATGATTAATTGTCGAGGAACAGCGCGTTGAAAGGATGTTGCTCGTGGACATTGCAGAAGTGTGGTTTACATCTCACTGCAGCTCAAACTATCGAGAAAATCCACCCAACAAAAAATCGACTAAGTCCACGTAAACAGTACCACTGAACTGTCATCAGATTGAGGTTAAAGGGCCACCCACAATAGTCCGTCACCGTCACCATCACCGTCAGCGTCAACGCATCCGTCATGTACTAAAAATTCTGACGGACGCATTGACGCAGCACTTGCGCACAATCATGCGTCACGCGTTGCGTTTTGACAGTAGCATAATCTCGTTTTAATCATTTGTTTTGGTAGAAGATTTCATATTGAAAAAAAAAAAGTCCGAACATTCTGAATTTGGGAGGCGATTGGTGAATGGCGAGTTGGATTTGCAAGCACCGAGCAAGTTTCCAGGCTCAAATGAAGGGATGCCGTATTTCATTGCAGGGTTTGCTGCATTTCCTCTTGAGAATAACTTGCTCCAGCCATATCCAGGTGTTGAGGTAAGTTCCAACGGCTTCAACGGCTGTCCAGAGCCAGGAGGGATGGTGATGGGAACGTCAGTGAACCTGGTGAATGGCGTACATTAGTTGATCCTCTGAGATGTATTAACTCTGCGGCCCTTCAGAGAGGCAACAATGCGACACGATCTGCATACGTTAACCGAAATGTGTTGGCCAAACATGTATTCACACAATATTGTTGAAGGATATATAAAACATTGCAAAAGATTAAATTGTCTCCAAAGCTATTTCGCTTGTTGTATTTTATTCTCGACTTTATTGATAAAAATCACTGACATTTGCTTGGGCATTGGACCCTTCTTACAAATGCAAATTCCTACTAACAATGTTTTCCATGATGTGTTCAAAGCAACACGGCACAACATACGCTTCTGATTACGCTGATGTGACAAAACAGCAACATGACGCAGCGTCAATTTTGAAAATTTTCAAAATTTAGCACAGCGTCAGCGTTTTAGTACTGGCGCGCAGTGAGCGCAACGCATCTTTGTGGATTGCTAAACTGAATAGCGTTGGCTCAAACCAAGCTGTCAGTTGACGCTGACGGTGACGGTGACGGTGACGGACTATTGTGGGTGACCCTTAACCCCGACGGTGCAAAACCTAATAGGCTGTTGTACTAAAATGATAATAAAAAAAACCTTTTGAACTGCCAACACTGTCAGCTTAATCTTTGTTCTAAAACAATCATTGACCGTTTTGAGCGCCCCGTCACTGACAGATGTGTCATCATCGCGGAAAAGTTGTAAAGCCATCATCGCTTTTCTTCGGTCCGGATTGCAGGGTTTTTGCGTGTGCGAAAGACGTTCTTTTATATTTTCAAGTGAAAAACGGAAAAAAAGGGCAGCGTCTAGCAAATAGTTTGGTGTTGTAAAGTGTTAACCGTATTTGTAATTATCGTAAATGTAAGATCTCGTCCAGTACCCTCCTAAAACATTTTCCGGAGGACAAATAAAGAAACGAGAAAATTTGCTTCGGTACTGGTGACGATTGGAAAGTGATGGCCGATCAGACCGAACTGCGTATGAACTTAGCTGCCATTCAACGCTCAGATCCGTATGCAAAAGACATAATAAATTCATCGGCACACGTTGCATTTTACACCTTCAACACCGGCGAAAACGAGTGGGAGAAGACGGACATCGAGGGGGCATTGTTTATCTATAGACGGAACGCGGAGCCCTATCACAGTATTTTTATCAACAATCGACTCAACACAAACTCTCTGGTGGAACCGATCAACGGTCAGATCGAACTTCAGTCCCAGCCACCGTTCTTGTTGTACCGCAACGAACGGGCACGCATAAGGGGATTCTGGTTTTACAACAATTCCGAGTGTGATCGGATCCGGGAAATCATCGCCAAGCTCGTCGAGGGTTGTAACAATCCCGGCGGCAAAAAGAAACCCGAGATGGGAAAAACGCAAGCGAACGGTAATGGAGCAGGTAGGAATTGTCTGAATAATAAATAATGAACAATATTTAATGTACCTATGTAACCTATCTTAGGTAACAACGTGGATATTTTCTCAATGTTAACCAAAGCTCAAGAAGATTTCAACAACAGCACCGGGAAGCCGCCTTCAGTTCCACAACAGGAGCAAGCTCCGAGCAGAAATCCTTCTGCCGCCATCAACATTGTTCCTGACACACCACAAAGTGTGGTCAACTTTTTTGCAGCAGCAAAACAGCCGGCCGCCTCGGAAGTACCACTGTTTCAAACGTTGATGTCAAATCCGGTGCACACGCTCGAACAGATAGAGAAACAACATCGTGCCACGACACCTCAGAAGGAGGCCAATATTACCGGTAAACTCACACCGGAAGTGAGTGAGCTTGAGAATAGCTTGAAGCTGATGGGTATTCCTATAAATGCAGGTCCAGCACCAGGTCAAGAGCTGGGAAGCTCCCCATTGGCCACCTTTCTCAGCTCCACGAACTTGGCGGCAGTTCGTAATAACAATCAACCGATTCCGAAAACCAAACCCATCGAAATAAGTGAGATCGAGTCCCGTCATCAACAACAGCAGCACCAGCAACAACACCAACAACCTTTGCATGAACTTTTGAAGAAATCGGATCCCATGAGCAACCCGCTGAATTGTTCCGGTTCGATTTTGAACACAACCCCCAATGCTAGCAGCGGCGTCAAACCGGCTTTAATGCTACCGACAATGTTTGCCCCTAGTTCTACAAACGCAGTAAAAGGGCTAACCGATTTGTTCGCAAATGCGGCGAACAAAAAGCACCACGAGCACCCTAACGGTGGTAGCAACACTTCGGTAACGGATTTGCTCTCGAAGGCCAACAATAACCATCACCCGCCACCGGGATTCTTTCCGATGGTCGGTGCGGTTGAACCGTTAACACAGGTGCAGCTCATCCAGGCCATTAGTTATCTCATCAAGCACGATCCGGACTTTGTTCGGAAGTTGCACGAAGCCTATCTCAAGTCGATGCAGGAGATGATGGCATTATAACATGTGCGCGCAAAAGGATGCGACCGGTAGGAATCGCGTAGCGAAGAACACAAGTGAGGTATGGCTGGAGAAAAAGACTTGATTGGGCAGGAGATATTTTTCGCGAGAGGTTTTTTTTTTAGCAGAGAATGACGAACTGAAGATTGATTCTTTTTTTTACGGTTTAATTTCATCTTTCTTTTTAAGACATATATAGTTTCGTTCTGTTATTTGACTACGTACCACAAACAAACAACCCCCTCCCCCCGCTCCACAGCATATTACATAGAATACACGTTGCTCTAAGTAAAGCAAGTACAGGAAGGAATGTTTGTGTTTTATTTAATTAGATGTAGTTTTTCTTTATCATTTTAATGTTTTCTTTTTGACAAAATCTACTAGGCGAAATGCACCTATTTTAGCCGATATTTCAAGTTTTTTTTTAGGTCTTGAGTTGTGTGAAAGATTCAAATCATATTCATCGTAGACAAACAAACGCACGAAGATTGTTATTCAATCGTTTTTCTGAGGTATGGCCAAAAATGGTGCACTAACCCTAATATATTTTTTATTTGCTTCTCAACATGTAGCAAAACGGTGCTATATCCTGTTTGGTATAATCTTTTAACTAACCCGACAGAGACAATTAGGGCCATTTACAAGCAATCAATGGGGATTTTGAGGAGACGATTATCCTAACCTTCGTTTTACTGTTTCTACATGGCAGAATCTCCTTTCATTGCACACAAGAACCATGGACCTATGAGTTCTACTTGACATTGCATTAAATTTACTTAGAAGAAAAAAAAATCAATTTAAACAAATAATTTAAAAAAATCTGCAGTGTTGGGGAGGAGGGGCATAGTGAGCATCCCGCAGTTTGGATCTGGATCTCCAGCAGCATATAAAAAAAAAACAACTGGTAGTAGGTTCAATATCATTATAATATTGATCCTACCACCAACCAATTTGTTCCGAACGGCCGAAAGCATAAGCTGGTGCACGGGATGCTCACGATGCCCCTCTTACCCCTATAACACAAATAATTTTCTCAGTGATGCCATGCAGTAATTCCATTATATAGGGGGAATTTTCCCCTACCTGATAGTGGTGTTAGTAGGCGTGTGCGAGCTATCAGGTACGCTTGATCGTCGATTTGGCGTAACTGGTAGCTCGCATGCATTATTTAAAATAAGCTGATACGCCTCATAGCCTAGTCAATAAAGGCACGGTATTACCAAGCCAGAGGCGGCGGGTTCGATTCCCAGTCCGGTCGAGGGAATCTTTCGGGTTGGAAATTTTCTCGACTTCCCGGGGCATAGAGTATCATTGTGCTTGCCACACAATATACAAATTCATGCATTGGTATTGGCATCGAAAGCTCTCAATCAATAACTGTGGAAGTGCATTTTAGAACACTAAGTTGAGAGCACGCAATAAGCTAATATGCGCTAAGCAATAAGCTTGAAATGCGAACAAGAAGAAGAAGAAGATACGTCAGTAATCGAGAAATTATCCATTCCCTATTTCGAACGAAACGAATTTCCCTCGATAACAACAGACTACTCAATAATGACTATAAAGCATATTTAATAATGAAAGGACTCAATAATGACTATTAAGTAAGCATTTTCGAGAGGAAATGAGACTACCCACTAAATGAGTAAAATTTATTAACTGAATAACTGTTACTAATTTGTTAGTAATAATTAATCATAAATGGGTAAAATTGTACTCATTAAATGAGTAGTCCTTAAACATGCGTAATAGATCAGTGCACGGTCCCTAACCTCACTTTTTGCTCCCTATCATTTTGCTTCTGAGTAAAAGAGATAGCAACGAATGGGAGCCAAAACAAATCACCCAAAACTGTCAAAACTTACGGGTGAGAGAAGAGTGCGGCAAATCTTCGTGAACTGATCAATTTACACTCTTTTTCTTTCGCGGAAATTTTACTCAGTTACAGTTAAAAGGGAACTTACTCAGTCACTGAGTAAACTCCCTTTTGTACTGCAACAGAGTAACCACAGACAAACAGACAGAACAGTCGCAAGATGTTCATCGAACAAGCATTTTCCGGTCAATTTAAAAGTATCTTAGTTGGTAGTATCGCCACCTGTGGCGCGTATAGTCAATTCCCCTGCGTTTGACGTTTTCACACTACCACCATCTGTTCAGCTGAAACCCACCACAGTGTACTCAACAGATAACGGATATGTTTTAGCGACGATGATTTACAGTGAGAAATATTCAATGTGTTATGTCTGTTTGTCTGTGGAGTAACATTTCCGTGTGATAAAAAGAGAGGGCAATACAATTCTACTGAGTCAGTGAGAAGAATTGAAATAGAGTCTTAGTATGGTTCAAAATATAAATCTTGCTCCACCAATCTCAATCGATTTCAAATAAGGTCCTGATAATTCTCTTAAAAGTTGAGCTTATTTGGATGCGAACTCATACTGCACTGGGCATTTGAAGTTCATAAGGGAATTACTATGGGAAAAATGAACTTAATGTTCTCATAGACATTATACAAAAATATACATTCTGGAAAAGCTTGCTTTTACGCTGCTGTCCATTGTAAGAACTGTAATTACATTTGTTGTATATGGAACACTTCACTTGCAGAGGATGTTATAAATCCAACCTTATTAGATGTAATCGAAATTTAACGGTGCCGGTGGTGTAGTGGTAAGCGTGATTACCTCTCACCCCAGCAGGCCTGGGTTCAATCCCAGTCGGCGCCGCCGGGATGTTCTGAGGCATAACATCTCTGATCACGCCTTCCTTCGGATGGGAAGTAAAGCCGTTGGTCCCCGGTTCATGAGTTGATGGGTCGATAGGTAGGGTCCAGGTGTGGGAGCTGCCTTCCTGGCACGTCGGTAGCATTGGTGCTCAGCACGGAAAACAAAATCGACGGAAAAAAACAAAAAAAAAAAAAAAAAAAAGATGTAATCGAAATTTGTTTTGCGTGTAGACCTACCCAAAGTATTTAGCGTTCGGAAAATCATTTTCAAATATCATCCATTGAGCCCAATGAGATGAATTACCGAGGTGAAGCAATTGGTTAAGTTGTGTGAGTGAAACCACTGCACGATACAAGCAATTAGTGACGCCACTAATTGCGTTTACGTTGATTTTTTGGTTTACATGCAACAACATTTCACTATCTGCTTCACCTCTCTCTGTACCTCATTACATTGAGCCCTCCTGAGAGAATAAACTCGCATGCAAATCTACAAACCAAAATTCATGCTTGGGATTCTCAAGCTTTTTCATGCACTCACCTCACACGCAATCTAATTTTTGGCCATATAGTTTCCATTGGGAACGCACATGATATTTTTCCAATAGCAAGATTAATGATTTTTAGCTGAAATTCACATGATTACATGAATTTTATGTGATAAATCACATAAACTTCATTGGACACATAAGGTTCATGTGATTTCTTGGTGCGATTCCCAATCATGAGATCACATGAAAGTTATGTGAAATTCTAATGGACATTTTCCATTGGACATGTCATTTAATTTTTGAGTGTACGTTACCTCTCTTTTTCGAGTGGATTTTTAGACAAAATATAATGTTTATAATACATACACGTTTCCATTGGGAATGCACATAATTTTTTCCATTAACAAAACCAATGATATCTATCTGAATTTCACGTAACATTCATGTGATTACATAAGTTCTATATGATAAATCACTTAAATTTCATTTGACATATAAGGTTCATGCAATTCCCAACATGAAAGTTATGTGAAATTCTAATGAATGTTTTCCATTGGATATGTGATTTATACTTTGGGGGAAATACCTTTATCATATATGATAAATGTATTTCTCCCCTATTCTGCGCCGCGAGTGAGGTGACTCTCCGTGCAAATCAAAGGGTGAGTCACCTCACTCGCGGTGACTATTGTCACCTCACAAGTGACAGCGAGTCACGTCACCTCACTCGCAACCCAGAATAAGTCTCTTATGTACCGTTGGATTTGATAAAGACTCACAACAGCACTGCTTCTTGATTCCCAATTCGGCCTATGGGTTTCAATTTCGTACAAACATATAGGAATGTCATTGTATTTACTTCGTCATACGGATGAAGGCGAAAATTGAATGAAAAGATAGATTCGTTTGGAGTGGTCCTCTTCTTTTGTACGAACAAAGGATGTAAACACAGACATAACACATTGAATATTGTTCAATATAAAACATCGTCCGCGTTGAGTACGCTGAACAGATGGCGGTAGTGTGTAAACGTCAAACGCAAGGGTTATTGATTATGCGCGCCACAGGTGGCGGTACTACCAACTAAAAAAATTTAAATTTACCGTTTAATGCGTGTTCTGCGAACGAATTGCCAGAATTGTCAGTTTTTTTGTGGTGTAAGTATTTATACTTTGCGCTCTTAACTTTTCAGTACTCGCGCTAACTTTTCACCTTGAGGGTATTTCTTGAAACCTGACATCATCTCAAATATTCCTCAAGTATTGGTCTATTTGACATGGGTATTGAATTTCATGGAACATGTTTAGTTTCTCACCATAGCTACTTAGTGTTTAAAGATGAATTGTGATGGATTGTAAACCAAACATACTTCAGCTAGAATTCCGCTAAAAGAAACAAGTTTTAAGAGGCAATGTATTGCAAGATTAGAATGTCACGAAAAACTAAAAGATTGCGCATGTTTCTTCGATACCCCCTGGTCTTAGTGTCCGTTGATGGTACAACCGGTACAACGGCGTGAGCACTAAAAGATTAAAGGCTTTTTATAGTAGTTGTTGAACATAAATATCGTACAGCCATATAATTGAATCATTGAAATCATACTAAAGTTGATGTTTTCCATTGGCGTAGCTAATGGGGGTGCCTGCCCCCCTCCAGAATTATCTGGCCATCCTCCAGAATTTTTTGAAGATCTATATAATTTAAATTGTCGGTATTAGAATCTCCAAAAAAATCTGGAGGGGGGTAGGCAGCCGCATTAGCTACGCCTATGATGTTTTCTGTTCGA